GGCTGTCCTCCAGGGAGGTGCCGAAGGCCACATTGCCAACTCGTCCCTGGACTGACGCTGAGGACGGCAGCACTAGTGACATCCAGACGACTGAGGATGAAGACGAGCAACCAACTCAGAGGAGTTTTGGCTTTCGATCCGGTCTCCTGCGCCATAATCGGCGCCACCGCCCAGCTCAGAAGAACAAGAGGTTAACCAACGCATCTGATGACGAGGCTCTGATGCGCCCTGTGATTAATGCTTGCTCGGCCAATCGTGGGGAGCCGCCCAGGGCCATAGCAGCTTGTCTTGAGTGTGGCAAGCGGTTGTGTGACTACTGCCACCAAAACCACACCAAGCTCGCGGTAACAGCGGACCATGTGATTGTGTCTTTGGAACAACTGGAGTCCATGTACTGTACGCGACATCCACGAGAGCTGCGTCGATTCTTTTGTGTCACTTGTGGTGAGTTAATTTGCCTTGTGTGTACCTTTGAGTCCAGTTTCTCGGGCGCAAACTCTGATGTAAACTCGGACAATCCCACTCCACCCTCGACCTGTGGCCACTCAGAACACGAGGTACTGTCCATTCGCCAGGGCCTATTCACGCTCGAGCGCTGTATCAACAAAGCAGCTTTTGACTGCAAGCAAAAGGCCGAACGCTTGGAACTGTTGCTTCTTGGTATTCGTTCGTGTGAAGGCCATGTGAAGTCCCTAAAGGAGGCAATTGAGGCAGCCGCTGACGAAATGACCCAGGCGATAGCCAATAGGAAGGAAGCGCTACTCGGCGAACTTGACGATGACGTGGGTGTGCCTCTAACCAATCTGGTTAGTCAATGTGAAACAATTGTGAACTCCGTGACTAGTTGGGAAGAACTGCAAAAAGAGAATGGTTATGTGGAGGCTCTGGCCGGAATACATCCAGTACAAGCGGTCACTGAAGCCAGCTTGATCCGAGATCGTTTTGTCGGCTGCCTCGAGGTATTGACTGCATCCATTCCGAAGACAGATAACTGGTCAAAACTTGTTGCGGAAGTGGACAGTCTGGCTCAAAATTTCAATAAGTTAAACGGTTTAGGTGATGAACACTCGGAGTCAGAGGTAGATGCCGGAAAGTTTGGGGAGGAGGAAGAGAAGGAAAAAGGTGTGCTTCCAGCCGTAAATGGCGATGTGAAGATTTCAAAGCGTGTGCGTTTCAAGCCACCAGCTGAGTTCAGTGGAGTAATACCACCCTCCTACACCGCCCATTGGACACGCCGCCTGGGCAAGTTTAT